ATCTCACACCAGGTGAGGCCATGCAGGGAGGGAGATCTGAGGGTGAGCTCATTCCTTTGGGTTTCTGGAAATCGTGTGGAAGTACATGATGATTTCTAGGATGTTCTTGTTCCACCTGGACTTTCATTTGGAGCTCTTGAGTCAATTGATATAGTTCTTTGGCTTTTAGCTGGAGGTTTGCAGATCCCACAGTGTCTCAGGATGATTTTTTGAATAATCTGTGAATGGTGATAGTGACCGAGCAGAAGAAAAAAACAAGCTGAGAGGCTGTCACAGCAGTGTGACTCTGGTTTCTAAAGGGATGCTTGGGGGAATCAAAAGTGTCCATTGAAAAGGCTGAAAATTGAGTTTGTAGGTAATGAAAATGCTCCAGGACAGGGCTGGTCATGCTTAGTTCCAGCACAAGGCACTTCTTCCTGGCACGTACCACTACCAGTGTGAAAAAGGACAAGTGCTGGGCACTAATCTTGCCTGTTAGGTTCTGCTTATCGCATTAATAACATGAACAAACATTGTCAGAGATAAAGCCAAGAGTAGTGAGGGTGTGTGGSCAAAGCTGTCCCATCACCAGGCATTGGGCAACCTCCTGGCAACCTGCACCCTGCACTTCCTGCAGTCTCTCCTTCCTTAAAAGCCTTCCTTATCACACTGTCCTTTGCTCTTAAGAGTGCTCAATTCCATCAAACTGTCAATTGATCCTTGCCTGTCTTAAATTGTCCCTAATTGTTGTCTTTCCTACTCTTAAAAATGCTTTTGTAATGGCCTGCTTGTCCTTCTCCCTCTTGCCTGGCTTGCAGAGCCTYTCCCACCTGCTACAGCCATTCCWTTACTGTTAGTCCTGCCTCTCACTAGGAGTAATTGAACCTTGAGCCCCTTTCAGGGCCTAAAGKAKTTCCAAGACAGCTGGAGAGGACATGCAGAGACAGGTCAAGGGGAATTAGCTCCCCACTGCCAGAGGTTAGATAGGATATTGGGAAGGAATTCTTCCCTGTGAGGGTGGTGAGGGCCCTGGCACAGGGTGCCCAGAGAAGCTGTGGCTGCCCCTGGATCCCTGGAAGYGTCCAAGGCCAGGCTGKACAGGGCTTGGAGCAACCTGGGATGGTGGAAGGAGTCCCTGACCATGGCAGGGGGTGAAACTTGGGTGAGGCTTAAGGTCCTTTCCAACCCAAACCATTCTGGGATTCTGTGACTGCCCAGCCTGAACCAATACAGGTTTCTCCTTTACTTCCTCCTGTGTTAAGGTTGCTTCCCCTTTAGATGTGAGCTCCTTCCTCACCATATAGTTAGAAAGATGGACAGGCAGGATCAATTAACATTACCTTTCCTCACWAAATGGACTGTACTAATTGCTGTATGATTGGGAGAGTGCATGTTGTAATTACATTCCTTAACAGTTGTACCAAAGGCAACTATAGCAGAAATGATTAATAGATAGGGGTAAATGTATCTCTTAATTGGGACAGAAGTCTTCACRGATATTAGTCCAGACCTGGGCAAGTTCTATTATTTTTGAGCCTCTTGAGGCAGTAATGCAGAGCTGGGGCACAGGAAGGTCGTACAAAATAGTGGCAGCAGAATTTGGATCTGTGGAAGATGACGCAGTTCTGTGCTCCGTGAAATTCCTCCAGCGCATTTTTCGTGCCACTTATATGTTCATACCCTCCTCAGAGCCCTCACTCAGGTTTTTCATTGAGTCTTGAAACTTGTAGSCATTTGGCACTCAAGTTGTGATGCCCTCCAGCTGCTGGTCACTGCATCCCACTGAGGCAGCGCTTTCTTCTCTTGCAGACTCCTCTGAYGCCGACAGATTGGAAAGGTTCTTTGACTCGGAAGATGAAGACTTTGAAATCCTGTCCCTTTGAAAACAAATAGGAAACTGACTCTGCAAATTTGTGTATGTGTGGGGAGAAGGGGGGAGGGAAGCTCCTTCGAGAGCCTGGGGCTACCGGTTTTCATAGGCGCTTGCTGCCATCCCTGCCTCCTGTCCATCCTGGCATTCCGTGCAGCSTCGGAGCGGAGCTGCGGTGGGATGAAGAACCCAGCAGGTGTAACGGCCTCACTGGCTGCAGCTGGAATTTCCTCAGCAGCAAACAGTTGCTGCAAGTGGATGCAGTGGTGCTTAGGGGAGTTCAAAGCCTATCTGTTACATCAGCAGGTCAGCTGGGCCTTCCGGGGGAGGCACGGAAATCGTTAGAGCGCTGAATCCTTCCATGGGGACTCCCCTCTGAAGCTTAAGTAGAGCCCACCCATCATTTAGCAGGAGAAACGTCCAGTTAATGCCTTTAGCAGCTTCCCTTCTCACTGGCCAGCCTGGACTGCAGCTCACAACACCAAGGARCAGCAGCCACGTCCCACAGACAGCTGTGAAGCCTCCGAAGTGCAGGTCCCTACGGTACAACTCCTGTTCATGCTCTGCAGGACACTCAGCACTACCTCTCCTGTTCACACCCTGTGGAAAGGGAATTGAGGGAACTTCCAAGTGACTGGGAATTCAAGAAGTGAAGTGTGCTGCTGGGGAGGAGCATCTCAATCCCAGTTTAAATCACAGAAGGAATGGAAGAATAGAGAATGTGTGTGTGTTGCTCAGTGAGTCAGTCCTTGTGCTTCTACAGTGGAATAGCCTCTACAGCAAGTACCTTCAGGAAAGCTGYTTTGACCAGAAAAGTGAATTCCACAGCCCTGGAGAAACAGTCCAGAGCTGGGAAAGATGAAACAGGGTGGCAGAGATCTGCCAGGTGTGTGCCAGGCTTCTGCCTGTCCCCCAGTGTGCTGGCATGGTGACTAGGGAGTTCTGTTGTCCTGCCAAAACCCTGAGCTGTAAAACCCCTTGAGGTGCCCTGGGTGGGTTGGTCAGCAGTTCCTCCAGCTACCCCTGTCAGACATTCCCTTTCCAAAGCAGAAGAGGTGCCTGAAGGTTGAGCAGGTTTCCAGGCTGTGTCTGTACCTTGCCTCTGCCAGCCCCTCTCCCTGCAGGGTGCGCCCAGAGGTGCTGTAGGAGCTAACCTGGAGAAACCCCTGCCAGGGAACCATCCCAAGAAGRGCAGGATGCCTTGAGAAGGTCCAAATATACTGGAAATTGTAGYTACTTTGAAGATGGTAGCTGTGCCTAGGGCCCTTCTCCACGCAGAGAAAGGTGAAGGGTGGAGGAGAGCTGTCTCCATGCACACTGCAAGGGAAGTTGCTGCCRTCGTTTCCTTGGTGCATGCTGCACACTGCAACCCTGTTTACAAGGCTTTGGTTCRTGCACCCAGGTTTGGAACCTGTCAGATGATGGTGGTGTGCCCAGGTGGTGCCACTGGGCTGGAAATGTCCTGTTTCCCCYGTGACTGACCTACTGATGCTCTAACTGTCCCTGTGATACCCGAAAGCAGAGGTTTGAACTGGGAACCACAATGCTTCTGTCACTAAATTATTTGCTGCTTTCTGCCTGCTTCTCCTCTTCTCTCTTGTAGTCAGGGGAAGAGGCAGCAGAGGAAGTGGGGCTGTGCTCCATTCATCTGCTTTCAATTTCTATCTGAATAAACAGATGTAAAAATCTTTCCTGTCCTAATGTCCTTGCACAGGTTGAAGGAGGTGGTGGGGAGGATGCAGTACACCAGAAGAGTCCAGTGTGTAGAGGGGCTCCAAAAGAGCTGGAGGACTTTGAACAAGGGCCTGGAGGGACAGGACAAGGGCGAATGGCTGCACTGTGCCAGAGGTTAGATGGGATATTGGGAAGGAATTCTTCCCTGTGAGGGAGGTGAGGCCCTGGCACAGGGTGCCCAGAGCAGCTGTGGCTGCCCCTGGATCCCTGGAAGTGTCCAAGGCTGGACAGGGCTTGTAGCAACCTGGAATAGTGGAAGGTGTCCCTGCCCATGGAAGAAGATGATCCTCAAGATCCCTTTCCAACCCAAATCAGTCAGTGATTCTTTTTATCTCATGTTCATGGTTTTWTGTTTAAGGAGAGCTCAGCCAGACTTCACCTGAGTGTTAGCACAACCCAATAGCGGCGCAGAGTTCAGCTGTCTTAGATCTTTAGCAGGGATATCTGGCTTTTCTATGTGTTTTGTTGTCCAGTGTTACTGTCAGGGCCTGCTGCAGCATTGCAGGGGCTCACCTTCACCAGGAGTGTCTGGCTGATGAGTGCTGCTTTGGAGGGAAGGCAGCAGCTTTTTCCACTGTACCTGATGCTTGTATGAGCAATTTTGTTTTAAATATTTACCTTCCCCTCCCTGCTAGTGAATCAGTTCAGTCTGTCTCTCCTTGTTAGAGAGGCTTTAGTCTCAAGATCAGAGCAGTCCCACCTTATGGAAGGTGAGTTAAACATCCAGCAGAGACTGGAACTCTCTTGGCTGTGCCCATCTCTCAGTGCCCCTCACAAAGGATTAACATCCCAGTTTGTTGCAGTTTGCTGGTTGTTACTGGTGATTTAGGTGCTTCATAGCTGGTTTGGTTTCAAATTGCACTGGGGGGTGGGAGCAGGAGCCACAGGGAACTATTCCTTTCATTTTGGCCACAGTSTAAAATAATTTATGTGCCACTTGCCCTCCAAACTGGCCTTGCTATGAGCAAATCCTTCTATTTCAGGCTCTTACCTGCTCACAGCTGTCCAGCCCTGCACAGTGGGGAGAAGGCTTGAATTCACCTGTCCCTTTTTCCCACAGCTCGAGCAACCAGCTTTCCTTGGACTTAACTGAACTGCAGCACTTTTACCCCTATATATCCTTCTAGATGATAAATGAYCACACTGAAAAAAACATCCTGTGCCAAATGCTTAAAAGAATAATTTATTAGCAACTTTTCTACAAACTTGTTGGGGCATGGGGGATGCATTTACTAGAGAGGAAGAATGATCAGAAACAAGGCAATTCCCCAAAAATGGGAACTGTGTCCAGGGATGGCCCTGGGCTCCACACCCACATCTGCATCCAGGACTGGAGCTGGAACAAAAGCTCCTGCTTGGGACAGGGAGGCTTTAACAAGGAATTTGATACRTGCTCAYRGCACRTTTTAARAAAYGCAGAAGTGACTATGCAGGATKGAGGGGAGGAGCAGATAAAATAACRAAGACATCAGCAGCAATGTTGGACCCCAAAAAATACACAGGATCTAAGCTGTAGCTGCTGGGATGCCTTGGAGTCATCTGAGTGCAGAAGATCCAAGAGGTGACTTTCCCTTTTTCTTTTAGACCMGTATGAAGTTTCATTTCCAGAGTTCTCCCAAAGGTTTATTCTGAACCTCCTGCATAGTTTCCTCTGCAAGGGACTTGATTTCTCTGTGCAAATCTTCAATGCTCTTTGAAGCATCCACTGTCTGTTTCCAAGAAAAAAAAAAATACAGGATAGGTAGAGAATACAGAAATGTGTTATTGGACACCACCAAATGAGAAAAACCTTGTTGCTAACATCTGCTCCCCCCMTTACTCAATATTGTTACTCTCCCTGAGTAGTGAAACGAGCTAATTACACCTCCTCTCTGCAGTTTCTGCAGTGGATTTGGGAAAAATCAATGTATGTAGGGATAGACATTTAAGAAGCAGATGTAGGGGTGGATGAAGGGAAGCAGAAGGAATGGCTGCTGCATGTTGTTTGCTGACATTCTTTGGGGTTTGTGACAGACAGGTAAGCTCAGGATTCATCCCAGGTGCACAAAGAGCTGACCAGGCTGTCCTGGAACAGGGAAGGGCCCTCTCTGCCTCAGCTCAGTGCCCTTGGCTGGTCCCCAGCCTGTCCCACTGCCCAGATGTGGGAACAGGGAGCACAGGGAAATGACAGGTAAAATTTGGGAGCTCTCATTACAGACCCCCACCCCAGTCCACGACAAGCCCTTGAATTATTTCCTCACCTTCCAGTTTAGGGTCTTGTCCTCCATTAGGCAATAGAAGGATTGAAGAACTTTCTCTTGAAAGGAGCTGGTCTCGTAACGTTCACGTCCAAAGTTCCCTCGTTCTGCTGCTGCTTCTGGGCTTAACTGAAGAAACAGGATCAGGTCTGGCTTTGGGAGGCCAACATCAGGCTGTTTGCACCAGTCCAGGCAGAAGTTCTGTCCCAAACAAAGAAAATCGAGTCTGAGGTGAGACACACACAGACAGGAAAGCAGCAGGTTGGCTGGAGAGTGGGGTGGGAAAGGAACAGCCAGGGAAGGCAGAAATTGCAACCCAAAACACTCAGCACAGGCTGCAAACTGCAAAGGTGATATCCCAGCTTACCATGTGGGAATTCAGTCCTGGCAGTCGGGGGTGAACAGGTTTTGTCAGGTGTTCAGCACCTCTTGTGCTCATTTAAGTCGGACACAGCTAAAGCTTTTTCTGCCTCTTCTGCAGAGCCCTGAGCTCTACCAAGGCACATTCTGAGCCTACACACAGTCCTTACCACTCCAAAACTTGCTCAGTCCAAGAGAAAGCTGCTCCCTGCAGTGCAGATCTCTCTGAGCCCATGGGGGCTCCATTCCAATACTCACCTACCCAGGAATTTCAGCCTAGACACAAGAGRTGCAGTTTTCCATCAGGGCATGTGAATCTATGATGTTATGGTGAGACCACAGAGGCTTGTCCACTTACTGCTCATCCATCCCCACCTTCAATCCCTCTAAGAGGCACAGGCACGTCTGCCCTCCAGTTTCTCCCCAAATGTTCTGTATCCTGGTAATCTGGGCATTTTTTGGATGGATGTGCAGTGGGTTTTTAATCCCGTGAGAGGATAAGAGACATTAGAAGTGCCATGACATCTTGGATGTGAGCTCTCTCTGCCAGTAAACTTTTGTGTCATCACCATCTCCCCTTCTTCTGGGAATGCTTTTTGAGTGAAAAACATGCCAAACTCCATTCTTTTAAGAAGCAGAGGAGGTTCCTTTCAGCAGCAAGAGATGCCATTCCTGCTTCCCAAGGGTTGCATCCACATGGCTGAGCCCTGCAGGTCACCAGCTACATTCAAAGAAATGTAGACACTTTAAGACACCCTTTCTCCCCTACCAGAGAGTAGCAGGACATTCCTTACTGTGTCACTGTGGATTTGGGATCATTATTTTGGGGTGACTCAACTCATCTCACACATCCTGGCTCCTAATTTGGAGCTTTGCAGACACTTGCTTACCACCTAAGTGCTTTAATGCATTTATCTCAGGGTTAAACCCCAAGCTACACAAAGTCCAGGGAAGCAAGAGGGTGGAAGAAGATGCAGATGAGGGTGCAGAGCCTGGGGATCTCCTCAGTCCTTCCAGGAAGCAGGRAAAGGCTTGGGCAAGAATGAACGTAGGTCATGGCTGGTGCTGCAGGCGTGGCTTGAGCTTCTGTGACCACAGGAGGCTCTTCAAGGACTGATGGATACTCAGCAGGAATGGGACAAGAGTCTGTGCAGAACAGCCCAAAGAGAGGCTGACAGAGCTGACTTCTTCTGAAAGGAAGGACAGGCCAAAAGGCACAAGTGGGAATGTGAGAAATTCAGGCTAAATGACAAAAATCACTTTTACTCTGAAGGTGAGCAGAGAAGAACCCAGAAAGGAGTGGATATGCATCCCTGGAGATACTCAAACCTTGGCTGGATGTAGGCACAAGCAGCCTTTTAATGTCAGCTCTGGTTGTTTGGCAGGTGAATTCCACAGGTTCCTTCTAATGTAGGTGTTCACAATTCTATGGGCCAGCAGCCTGAGCAAGTACAGAGAGTCTTTAATAAACTCCCAGAATCATTCTCCAGAGTCACACAGGTCAGCTCCCAGTGCAGGAGTCTGTCTAGATTTACAAAAAGTCACCAAATAAGTTTCCCTGGTTGTTCTGGGGAAGGGTAGACCCACGGTAAGACCTGAGCTGAAACTTCCATCCCTCATTTCCAATCCTCATCTCCCAGAAAAACGATGGCCCTTGGGTGATTCACACCAACAGCCTCCACATGGAGCTGCTTCCCCAAACATAGAGAGGGGCAGGGGCTGCTGCAGAGGGGCTGCTGCAGGTCTCACTCACCCCTTTGGCACTGGTGAAGGCCACTCCAGAGAAGGCGTATCTGTCAACCACGATCGTGACCCCTTGGTGTAGTTTCTCCTTCATCATCGGCCTGAAACCATGTGGGAGATAAAATTAAATAAAGCTGCACTCCTTTACGGTGACAGAAATGAAAGGAGTGCATCTAAAACCCCAAGTATATCATTACTAACTCACTGATCACTGGCAGGGGCAGCTGTGATGCAGACAGCAGCTGAAGAGCTGTTCATATTCTCTACCAGGCATTGACCAAATACCCTTTCATGACACCCAAATTCAGGGTGCTGAGTSCTGGGCACTGCTCTAGGCAGCTCCAGGACTCAGGCAAGATCACAGCTGAAATACACTGACATGAACAGCTTAGTCCTCTTCCCTTTTCAGGTGGTGCARGAGATTTTGGGATATGCTCTACCACCTTTATTCACAACAGTTCTGATTAGAGCTCACTTATCTGCCTTCTGTTCTCCCAACTGCCACTACAGCAGAGCCAGCAAAGCTYTTCTGTAAAATGAGAACATTTTGGAATCTAGATTTCCAGGTAAAAACAACAGCCAACACTGATTTCCCCACCTTCACACACAGACTCTGTGACTAAAGCAAGGACAGCCAGTTACAGCTGAACGTAGCCTTTGGCCAGAGGGGAAATTTGGGCACAATTYCTTAACCACTGTCACTCACAGAGACTGCCTGGCAAAGTAAACTATCGTCAGGAAAGAGTAAATTCACAGTCTAGGCTGAATCCGTCTCAGCTCCCGAATTTTTTAATCCAGTATGGCACAAGAGTTGGAAATATGGCACCAATTATTCAAAAAAAAACCAAACTGTGGGATCTGATTTAAKATTACAAGGGCAGGTTAGATGGGATATTGGGAAGAAATTCTCCCCTGTGAGGGTGGCAAGGCCCTGGCACAGGGTGTCCAGAGAAGCTGTGGCTGCCCCTGGATCCCTGGCAGTGTCCAAGGCCAGGCTGGACATTGGGGCTGGGAGCAGCCTGGGACAGTGGGAGGTGTCCCTACCCATGGCAGAGGTGGCACTGGATGGGCTTTAAGATCCCGTCCCACCCAAACCATCCTGGGATTCTGTGATTAAATCCAAGGCTGTAAGAGTCCTTGAGACACCAYTTCCAGCCTGTTTTCCTGTCCAAACAGGATCCCATTCTTGCACTTTCTGTACCCACTGCAAGCCCAAACCCCAGGGGATTCAACACCACACRTTTTTCTTTTACAACTGAACAAACATCATCTTTACACATGTTCCCAGCGGTTGGCAGAGAAGAGCAGGTGAATGGTGTGGTCCTCCAGGTTCTTCTCCCTCACCAGGTAGGAGCTGATCAGCTGCCCAATCTCTGTGGTTCTGTCTGTAGGAAAGAGAAGGAGAAGATGCTCAGGCTGCTGTTCCCAGAGGGGTGTCCATCTGTCCWGGGAGCCTGTCTGTCACGGGTGGGAGGCTGCTCTGACCAGGACACGGAGGAGATCAGTCCATCCAGCGTGGTCATCTGTCTGACTGTCACGGGTGGGGTGAGGTCTGTCCAGGGTGAAAGGTATGTTTATTTGTCACGGGTGGGAGAAGGTGAGTCCATAAGGGGATGGGGACCTACCTGCCTGTGACAGGCTGGGAGGAGGTCAGTCCTGGATGGACGAGAGTCTATCTGTCTGTCCGGGGTGGGAGGGGTCTATCTGCCAGTCGCGGGCAAGGGGCGGCTGCTCTGTCCGGGCTTGGGGGGGTCCATCTGTCACGGGTGGGAGGTGTCTGTCGGTCAGGGCTGGGGGC